TGTAGATATTTAGTTAATGATTTGCAAAAATCGAAAAAAGAAATTGCCCTGGATATTGACTTACAAAGTACAATTTATATTCAACGTAACGTCAAAAACGAAAGTGAAACTGATATAAAAGTGGTACTAAATACCAGTCACGATACCCAATTACTCAGATTAACTAAAAAATTATTCCTTTAAACCATTAAAGAACGAAGGGCGATCAAAATTGGTATAATTTTATTCCTTCCCCTTCAACGCTCTCGCCACCGAATTAGCCACCAAAGCCTCGAAAGGGGCGAGAAAAAGAAAAAGAAGAAGAAGGAGAAGAAGAAGAAAACAAGAAAGGCGTCAACGATCGGTTTCCACGGGCGCAGCGCAGCCCTTAATTACCAAGGAAAGGCGGCGAAACCCTTGCGCCGCGGAAATCGGCGAAGTCTGGAGGCGATTGGCCGCCGCCATCGTGCGTAAATCGACTTCTCCTTCTTCTGTCCAACGCATCGAGCTACTACCACCCCTGGTGTAACGGTACACGACAAAAACGTATCGTGTTACGAGCGATCGTTAACCACGGCATAAAGAGTTTATATTCGAGAATGCCACTTACCAGGCGCACGTTTCGATCGACGAAAGCGGGAGCGTGGCCGGTAAAAAGGTAGAATAATGATCAATACGGGAAAAGGGATAATATATCCCCCCATTGAACTATGACTGTACAGAGTATGGGTGAAGTTTAACGGACAAATTGGTCGAGGATCCGCATTGAAAGAATCCGAGGCTTGACCGGATAGATATATATATATATATATACACAACTCGAATCGATATATACAGGGATGGTATCGCCATGGTATTTGATCAATGAGTATATTCATCGTCGCGCTCCGACAAAGCCGTCCTGTATCCGATTATGCGAAGATTGGGCGGCTCGTAATCAACGAGTTTCCCGTGGAACGGTGAGATGGGGGCCAATAAGATCGCCGTTGATCGATCAACGAACAAGGGGGGAAGAGATCAAGAGGGTGGAGGAAAACGAAGTGGACGATGAATGAGCGAAGGGAGAAAGGGAATGTCTCCCTTCTTGTTTGGAATTGGTGTTGGCGAAAGAGAGGGAGAATCGAAGGAGGAAGTCGAGGACCCTCGTGGAAATCGATCGAGCGAAGGAAGAAGCCGGAGGAGCAAGAGGAGTCGCGCCCCGTAGAAAGGAGAGAAGAAAGCCCTCTCTCCTCACGGCCATTCATCCAAGAGGCTGGCTACCCAACAGGAGTACGTAAGCCGCGCAAGAATTAGGCAGAAAAAGGTGGAGCACGAGCTCCTCGAACGAAGCGGAGAGTGTTTGGTGTTTATACCTGGCCTCCTTAGAAAACGGCCACCCTACCGGTGGATGCTTACAAACAGGCGGTTGTCAGATTTCTTTTATCTTTCCCCGGGCATCTGTACGCCCGATGCCCCCGGCAGATACCGCTCCTCCTTTGCGTTTTTCCTCTTTTCTTATCCCCGAAGACCAGCCACCCTCCTCTATCCGTTATCGATGCGAGAAAACTGGGATTGCGTGCTTTTTTTCCTTTCTTTCTTTCTTTCTTTCCTTTTCTTCTTCTTCTTCTTCTTCTTCTTCTTTTTCTTCTTCCGGTGACTCCTCGGAAAGGTGTGCCTGGTAATTATTTGTAAACGGCGAATCGAAATTCTTTTCTGGGGAATTTTTTCTCCGTTACATTGGTGGTGGAATTCTTCGGATTAGATTATCGATCGATCGTAGATTTGGAAAATTTTCCTTCTCTTTGATTCGATTATATCAAATCTTAAATACCGAATAGAAATTCGTCTATTTCAGAGGCTGTATTTATCGGAATCAATGGTGAAAACTGTGTGCCATAATTTTTGTTATAATTATTTTAATGTATCTTTAAAGTAGAATTTGTAAATTGAAAATCTACGACGATTCTAAACACTTGTTCAGTTATAACCAATTTACCAATCGTAAGACTTCGTGGACACGCTATTGTCCGTTTAATCCACACGATCTATAAATTAAAATGCATCAATCCGGTATTCGCAAAAAACTCGATGCAAAAAGACATCGATCTCGACTCCAAACGAACGAATCTGTGCACATCCGCTAATCGATCGAAGCGTGTCATCGAAACCAGTGTCCCTGAACAGCGCTCGACAACTTGGAACGATTAAGGAATCCCACCGCAAGCAGCTCGGACAAACTTCGATCGGCGAGGCGAATCGGCCTGGCGCGATCGTCGACAAGCACGAAAAAGGCAGGCTACTACGGAGAAGTGCATCGAGAGTCGATCAGGGAGGGAACGAGCGAAGGAACACGAGGGGAGCTGGTATGGCTTCCGAATCGGTGGGCTTCTCGCCTTACCGGCTCTCGACGATGTGTCCGAACCTACATTTCTTGATGACCAACTAAATCGCCGCCGCAAATCGCCGCTAGAGCGTTTCTCCATCCTCCACCCCTCCCTCTCTGTCCGCCTCTGTTTCGAGCGGAGAGCGTTCGCAGCTGCACTTAACGTTGATCAGGAATAACGATCGCGAGGCTGTTACACGCGACCCGGCAAAATGGCCGGTATAATTGAGAACTCTGGCTCGGGGGCAGAGGGAGCCGCCCTGGGGGTTGCTGAATATTGGCAGCCCTCTTCGCGCCGAGAAGAAATGCCGTTGTGTCGCTGCATTGTGGAAGGATTCATGTTGCATCGATGTCGGAATATTGCGAAAGGAGGTTAGATTTTTGGAGGTTAGGTTTTTGGAGATTAGGTTTTTGGGGGTTAGGTTTTTGAAGGTTAGGTTTTTGGAGGTTAGATTTTTAGAGGTTAGGTTTTTGGAGATTAGGTTTTTGGGGGTTAGGTTTTTGGAGGTTAGGTTTTTGGAGGTTAGGTTTTTGGAGGTTAGGTTTTTGGAGGTTAGGTTTGTTGAAAATTTTTTGGGGTACTAATTTGATAAGATATTAAAAGGCGATGATGGAAGGATGTATAGAAATAATGTAGATAATTTTCATAAAATTGATATTGGTCCTAATTTTGAATTAATTCTTATTTTAATGTATATTTTCGTCGAATATCAGCAGAGTCCGATGTGAAAATTCTTCGTTGGTTCTTAGAAATAATTTCGTATTCGTATCTTGAATTTAATATATTACAATCTTTCCAAAGTTTCTCTAATCGGATAGAAGTAGAGTAGAATTTAAGAGGCGGAACATTGTAAAGTCTAATCCCCTTGATCTATGAAACGGAGAGTGCTAATTGCAGTTCAGACGTTCGGATGGCGTCAAGGGCGGCGTCGAGTTGCGGCTCTCTCCAACAATTCTCTCGCAAGAAGCGAGAGTTCCAGTTGTTGCGTGTGCAACAATTTCCATTGAAAAGGGATCACGGTTGTGCCCGGGCCGAGATCACCGATTAGTAAAACGCGACCTCTCCGAGCTTCCATTTACAAGTATCCGGATTTGGGGATTTGGGCCCAGGTTTAGGTATCACCCCTCCATTCACCCTAATCTACAATTAAGAACCAACCTCTCAAGGAAACTACTCGACAAAGAGTATTATCTATCTACCATAAAAACTTTCGCCGTACAAATTAACCGAAATCGAAAATATTCCATTCCATTACCAATTTTCATCTCATCTCTCTGTTGATCGATCATTCTAATCGAACACGATCGATCCCGCACTCGGCCACCGAGCCAAGAATCGTCGACACAGGTATATACCTCTCAGAATCCATCCAGATCCCTCCCCTTCCCCCGGATAAGCGGATTTTCAATGTTAATAAGGAGCACCGAGCCGTCGAATATCATTGTTGTCGATCTCGCGTCGCCCTTAATAGGCGTAACTACTCTCGCGAAAGAGGGAAATATTCCTTTGAGCGAGTCTTTCCTCAACCGGGTGGATGTTCCTCGGCGGATGTTAATGGTTTCCGGAAGATGGCGGAGGATCGGCGCAGGGAGGGGGGGGGGGGAAAGGGGGTTGGAAAACTGTTGGCTCGCATTTTCTCGCGAGTGCGCCAACACAACCAAGGGGGAGAATGAGGCGAGGCGAGTTTCGCGGACCGGATAAATGGGTTTGGAAACGTTTTGCCGGTTTTTTCGGGGGCGAGATAAGAGGGGAGGGGAGGGGGAAGAAGACAGCGGGGCCAGGGTGAATCGCGCCCGACGCCTCGGACACGTTCCACGGACTGTGTAAAGCTCGCCTGTGCAACGCTCGCATTCAACGGCCGATGGAAACGCGGCCGCTGTGTTTTTAATCCAGCTGTTTTTCCTCTCCTCCTCTCTCTTTTTTTCTCCTCCTCTCTCTCTTTTTTTCTTCTTCCTCGTTTTTTTTCTTTTTTTTTCTTTTCTTTTTTTGTCTNTTTTGTCTTTTTTTTTTTTGTTTTTTTTTTTGTTATTTTTAGCGCTGTTTTATTTAGAGCGCGGCTTTAAACGGTGCTCGCAAACATTTTTTCGCTAACGGTTTCACTTTTACGCCGCCGCGCCCCGAAATGATGATCCGGGCAGAAGCTCGACTCTTGAAACGGCGACCGATCCGATCCCGGATGCTTCCGAACGTTTAATCGAAGCCTTCTCTCTTCTCCACCTTCATCGTTGCTCTTTAACCCCGTTCCTTGAATTTTTTCGCCGATGGATAAACATTCCTCGAAAATGTTTTTTTGGGGGAGGGAAGAGATTCGAGGATTTAGATCTTTAGAGTTTAGATCTTCTAGGATTTCGATATTTAGATCTTAGTCGTTTCGAGAAGTCGTTAATCGGTGATTTGATCGATTATTTGGCGTGTCGTTTGAGAAGTCGTCTGTTGTCGAACGATTGAATATTTATTCGAAATGAACAGACTAAGAATAATCCTAAAATCGGTGAAAAATTAAAAGGAATCCAACGCGTTTCCAACTTCCACCACGATTCACACAATCCAATCCAATAATTCCCCGAAAGATTGAACAACTCGTGAAAAGAATAAATAGAATAAAGATCTTTTTTTTTTTTTTTTTTTTTTGAAACGTGACGATTTTCGAATTTCCAGATTGGGCTTGATGTCGTCGCTGATCGCGGGCCGATATCCGGTCGGGATCGGTGTCGGCGGTGTGTTCTTCCCCTCGACGTTGCAGCACCTTCACCAACAGCAGCAGCACCAGCACCACTCGAGGCTTGCTGCCGCCTCGTCGGCGTTGAGCAACGCCGTCCAGGTAACCGGCCAATCGGACATCGTGGACGCCGACGGCATCCGCGGCGTCCTGCCCGGTGGCGCCGGTTGGCCGTTTCCATGGAGGCCGACGCACGGCCTGCAGACGCTGGAGCATCCGTCGCCGAGCGACGTGGTCGGCACCCTGAGCCGCGTCAGCCCCGCTTCCGCGTCCTTCCCGCAAAGGGGTGAGTCCGTGAGACGTGGATCTCTAACAATCCAAAAGAATCGAATTATAATAATTACAGAGTTTAACTATCGATTTTCGAAAACCGATCCGATCCGAAAACGGATATTATCTTTAGAATTTTTCCATTCTGAGAGTTGGTACGACTCTTAGAAATAATAGAAACAGAGATATTAAATTTTTCTCTGAAACTTGACTCGAATCTATTAACATATTGTATCAGATGTATCCAATAGATTGGTAAAATTTTTTAAACTGTGAGATCGGATTAATAATTAGGATATTGACCGTGTATAAAAAAAAGAATATCATCCGCTTAAAATTTTAAAGAATATTCCGTAGATATTTCACGTTAAATATCGAACGATTCGATTAGAAATGATTTGTTCTGTTAACTGCTCGCGTACATAAACAACCTATATATATATATTATAGGAGTATGATTATGCGTGAAATCGTTACGAGTTTGATCATAAATTTAGGCTAGTCGTGCGTAATACCGGCTTGTAAACATTCTCGTGGGGAACAACTCGTTGATTGAAAATCGTGCCACCGTTTCGGGCTGTTTCAGCTCGATTCAGCTATCTGTAAATAGAACCGTTCAATGAACGAGGACATCGAACGATGCGTCTATCGCTCCGCATCAATTCCAAATCGCGGAGAGATATCATGATCGATTGATTCCCGTAATTTCATGCTCCGTTCGTGATTCAATTTCAATTCGATCCTTCAAAAAAACACTCCTTCCTTCGTTACTCTCGAGGATTCTTTTTCTTCCACGATTCTTCTTCGATCGCTTTTAATTTTTAAAAAATCAAAACTCGCTCAACTTTTCCGATTGAAAGTTAAAAGATTAATATTCCGTGAGAAATAACGTTAGGTTTAGAACGGGGAACGGGAGCGAGAAACGCGTCTGGGAAGATGGGAATTCGTGAAAAAAAGAAATGGGAAGCGGAATAAAGAGAAAAGGGCAAGGCGAGGGCTCGTATGCGTTCTACGTAAGTATATAAACGCGAGCGTGGACGTCGTCGACGAGATACGGCTTCCACGGCTTCCACCACGACAAACCAACGTCGATCGTCTTACCCACCGATCGTTTTACTCCTGGCCACTTCGCCAAAATACTTGGCAGCCTGGTGGACTGACCGTTTGCACCTACGAGGCGAGACTCCCTCGATGATAATTCTCCTTCTCTCCTTAACTTCGATCTTAGACGTCATTAAGATTGTTAAAAATTATAAGGAGAATTTTGACGATCCATTTTTTTGACATTTTCGAAAGATACAGACGGTGAATCATTATAAATTTTAATCTACATCACCTTTCTATTTGTATATCTTTCCAAAAATTTGAAGAAACGAATTCATAAAGTTTCTTTATTGTTTATTCCTCCAGCATTTTGGAAACACGTAAAAAAGATTGGATCGAAGTTAAACTCTTCAAAATAATATCTCGCAATTGGAATTTTACACGATATAGTCATTGAAGCTTAACTTTGCTTCCTTTAATTCCTTACTGAAACATCCCTCTCAAATGTCTTCGTATCCCCGATAAAGTAATCGAAATTTACATCTGCGTACAAATAATTCTGCGTGAAAGGTGATTGCAATTTCCTACGAGAAAATCGTTCGAAAACGATAATTAAATTGGAGATAAAATAGATAACAATTAACGGAAGCGCGAAAACAAAGAGGTGAAGTTTTGCATGAAAGGCGCGAAGAACCGGCGGTGGTGGAAAACGACAAATATTTCATTACACGAGGATGGAAAACACGGCTACGTCGCGATATCTGAGGCAATTATATCAAAATGGATAAATAGAATATTAATTAGCCGACTATCAATCGACTAAATATTAAATGCAAACGGCCGGCCGAGATGAATTATCGAATTCACCGAGCGAGAAGAGAATTTATAGATAGCAATATTCCACGGTGATCGACAATGATACCGAAAAAGATATCATCCTCGTGTTTCTGTTTCCTCGTCGATCGACCAGGAAAACGCTTTAAAGGGACCAGTTAATTAACGCGTTTAGCATATTGCAAACGATTTTCCCCAACATTCAACGATCGGCCGAATAAATAGACCGATTTGTGAAAATCATACCGACTCGTCGCTTGTCGTAAATACACGTATAATTATCCAATCGAAATTATTCTTGTTGCAATACTTGTACATAACAATTTTTTGGATTTTTGAGAAATGTTGTTTCGAAGAACGATGATACTTTTAATTTTACAAAATTCGAATCGAAATTTTTTTTTATGTAATCAAGTATCAGTGAAAATTTTGCAGATGTTTATAGCAAATTTCTCTTTTTTCTTTTTTTTACAATTAAACAAAAAAGAAATTAAATCAAGTCAATCAACGAATCAAACTCATAGTCCGAAGAAAGGAAGTTAATATACGCTAATTATACTCATCGTACCATTGGCATCCTAATTAATTACGCTCTAATTTCATTTATCTCGTGCTTATTAAAAATTTGAATAGAACGTTTTCCTTTTTTCTCGTTAACAATCCCCCTCGATTCTTGTTCTTAAATTGACCGATTCGAGTCTTTCAAGATTTACGACGGCGACCGAGAGTTGCTTTCGATGCACGACGATTTATAACACGGGCTGTACACATTTGATAGTGCACATTGACGCAACGACAACGAACTACCGATCATCGCGACCACTCGAAGCATATGTTTCCATTACCACGTGCGCGGCAGCCTATCCGGAAAATCGGGGCGTTAATCGTTATCGATGACCGAGCTCGTGCATCGACCGACAACCGAGGTGTTATCTTATCCCACCAGTTACTTTGCATCGATTGTCGCCCGATTCCAGACGACTAGATACCCTTTTATAGCTTCTTTGCTTGGAGGAATCGATTCTCGATATGAACTGGCGATTCAAATATTATTAGAGTTTTCCATATATATGTTTAGGATAGGGATTTCTTAAATTCGCCACATGTCAAACTTTTGCATTACACAATCTAAAACGCGAAAAATATTATTTGAATCTTAATCCTTCGTGGAAAAAACAATTGAACTTGTATAAAATTAAACCTCCCCTCTCCCATCCCCGTCTCCCTCAAAATACTTAATCGATAAATCGAGCAAAACACTCCAAAGCTCGTAAAACGATATATATATATATACTTCGATCGAGAAATTTTCCTGCTTGAACTTCTCAAAGCGAAAAAAAAACAAAAACGAGAGCAATTTCAATTCTCAAGCGAGCGGTATCGTTTTCCCTTCGCAGACGACCTGGACGACGAGAACGGGGAGGAGCGTCTGCACCGGACACGGAGCCCGTCCACGGGCGACGAGGGACACGACGACCTCGGCGAGCAGGACGACTGCCCGGAGGCGGACGGCGAGGGTGAATCGACGAACTCGGCGGGCCTCCACGGCGGCGGGAGCGGCGGCACAGGGGCGGGGGGCGGCGGCGGAGGCGGCGGAGGCGGCGGAGGCGGGGGCCAGAACAGCGTGCAGGTCGGGGTGGACGGTCGGGACTCGAGCAGCATGAAACGGAAGAAGAAGACGAGGACGGTGTTCTCCCGTTCCCAGGTGTTCCAACTGGAGAGCACGTTCGACATGAAGCGTTACCTCTCCTCCTCGGAGCGGGCGGGCCTCGCCGCCTCGTTGCGGCTGACCGAGACCCAGGTGAAGATCTGGTTCCAGAATCGTCGTAACAAGTGGAAGAGGCAGCTTGCCGCCGAACTGGAGGCGGCGAACATGGCCCACGCCGCCCAGAGACTGGTCAGGGTGCCGATACTGTATCACGAGGCGTCGGCCGGGAGCGGAACGTCCGCGAGCGTCTCGGTCTCGGTGACCGCGCCGCCGGCCGCCGCTGCGCCAGCGTCGGTCGCCACGTCGGCGCTCTCCCACTCGGTCGGCGTAGGAGTCGGCGTCGGTGTCGGCGTCGGCACCTCCTGCCCCCCCACCACCGCACAGCCCATCTTCTACTCCCATCACCACCAGCACCACCATCATCATCCGGCTCACGTGCAGGCGCACACTCTCCTCCCCCACCAGGTGCACCCGCAACCCCCGCCGCCACCCCCGCCCCCGCCTAACGGCCAACCACCCCAATCCTCCTCGCAATAACACCGTCCGGCACACGAGACCGTCGGCCCAATGCAACCAACCAACGCCGACACCGCGATCTCCCTCTCGCGACTCGCCTCGATCGCCTTGTCCGGATAGGGAAGGACACCCTCGCTCGCGCCGCTCGATCATCCTCCACCGAATCCTCGATCGTGCCTGCTTTCTACTCATTCGTCGATACGATTCTTTCCTCTCCTTTCCTTTTCTTCCGTTTCTTCTGAGTGGAAACGCGTTCGTTCTGAGACGCGTGTTTGATCGTGGCAAAATGGGCGTAACAATGAGCGTAATACAACCACTCCGTGGTTTTCCATGTTTTTTGGAGAAACATTAAAGACGGGTTATCTTGGATAAAATTACGTAAGTCGAATTTGACTTTGACTTTGAGGCAAGGTTGGGTAAAATTGGGCAGAATTTTAGATTATCGAGCGATGAACGATTTGTGCTCATCCGTTTCACTCGCGAAAAAATTTGTGGAAAAGATATGATATGATTAATTCTGGAGAAACATTGAAAACAACCACAGAACTCCCCGATCTTATAAATTTTTCCTTAAAAAAATATATATATATTTTGAAAAGTCGAAGAAGAAGAAAGGAAGAAAGGAAGGATATTGGTGAAATTTAATAATGGTTTCAATCAAAATCGTAATCTGGCAAGCGCCAACCCGAAAAGCTTTCCAACCGAGCTTCCAATCGCAACGGGACTGGCTCGCAAAGTTTCGGCACGATCGATGGCCCCTCCCCCTCCCCCCCCTCCTCTCCCTCCGAGTCTCCGAGTTCCGAGCACGAAACGATCTCGTTTTATCCACGCTCGTCGCGCCACGTCTTTCAATCGCACGTTCCAAAACCACGTAATACAACAACAAGCCCTCCTCCTCTCCCCCCCTCGCGTATCCCATTCGAAAGGAATGGATGCATCGAAACGCGATGAAGGTGGAGGATTCTCGTCGCTCGTTGGCCGAGGGTCGGACACACACACACACATATATATATATATATATATATATATATATATATATATAAAATCGCTGTGGTCGAACGGCTGGCGACTTCCGGCAAGTCGAACAATTGTAATATAAAGTATTGTATCTAGTCTGTCAACATGTCGATAAGAAAACTGCTCGTGGAACGATTATTAAGAATATTTTGTCGATGAGACGCGCGGGACAAACACACACACACACACACGTACACACCACGCATAAACACCCACACATACACATTTCTATATTCTGTCTCTACCTCTCTGTCGTTCTTTCGTTCTTCTCGTTCTCATCCCTCGTCTCGTTGTAAAAGTTAGTAAAAAATTGTTACTACGCGCGAATAATCGTTTCTACATTTATTATTATTATTATTATTATTATTTTCTTTGATCGGTTTCCTCTCGCTATCCTTTCTTTCTTTTTTTTTTTTTATTTTTTTATTTTTTTTCCTTTTCCTTTTCAAAATTTTCAAATCTCCTTTTCGATCGGGAACGTTGCAAAAGCGAAGCGAAGCGAAGAAGTCACAGGAGAGTGTGTAAATGTAACCCGTTAAGAGATTGTAACTAATCGTTAAGTAACACGCAAGTAAGAAAACAGGCAGGGTTCCTACGACATTTATTCTACCTGTTGTGATAAGTATTTAAACGATTGATTTTATTAAACGAACGGTAGAGTTACGAAATACCGGCTCTCTCTCCTCCTCACCCTAATCTAAATAGACGTCGAATCGAAAGGAAAAGAATTCGAAGAAAAAGAAGAAACAAGAGAGGGGAGCAAACGTCTCGTTCTTCTTTTTTCTTAACTGTTCCAAGATTTGAAAATCAACGAGGGATCTTTTCTTATTTTCGATCGATCACTTCTTTGGAGTGAAACTCCAATTCCAACATTGGAAATTTCCATGATGGTGGGGAGTTACCACCGATCTTTTCAAATTTAATTCCACCTTTCGAAAAGCTGCATACCAGTGTATACCGCGAGCAATCTCGAAGCGAAATATGTAGAAGAAAAGAGGGCGGACGAGGAGGGTTAACGCGGACAACCCTCTCAGATATCGGCGACAATTCCTCCCCCTGATCGATGCCCCCTTCCCACCTCCTCTCAATCCACCATCGAAAGGCGGATAAACCCGTACCTCTTGGACTCGATCAAAGGAGGACATCATACGCATCCGGTGTACACTCGCGACACAGTTTTAGCTATGGAGTGTGGAATGAGGTGGCGCGGTGTGTCAGGTGGGTTCACAGGCACGTTCAAGCCGATTCATCGTCGCTTTCGAGGAGAAAAACGTCGAGAGGCGGCGTTGGTGGGTGTCGACCACGAGGGAGCAGGGACGACAATGAAGCCCGTTTCCAGCCCGCGTCTCTCTCTCTCTCTCTCTCTCTCTCTTTCTCTCTCTCCGCATCTCTTGCAAAACACACGGGGGGCACAGGGAGGCATCACCGAGTAAGTACGCGCACGTAAGTAACGTGCACTTCAATCATCGTTCTCACAGGCCGTCGCGCGCCATCGCGCCTTCGCCTCTTCCTTTCTTTCTTTTTTTCTTTTTTTTTTCTTTTTCGCCTCTGATCTCTCTTTTTCTCCGGCGAGAACCTTTTCATCCGCCGAGCGATTCCATTCCGTGCAACACACCCCCTCCCCTCCACAGTGCAACCTAGCCTGGAAACGGCCTATACGTTCGTGTCCCTCCTGCTTTAGTTTCATTCCTCTTTGCGCGTTTCGACATTTATCGTGTATCTTTCTCGGATACGTTCGTGCCCCTCCTCGCTTGTACACCGCGAGGACTCGATTATATATCAGAGATATTATTAAATTCTACAGATGTCTCTTTTTAAATCTGTCTTTCAATCTGTAATCGTGTCCTTTCTTCTTTTTTTTTTTTTTTTTTTAAGAAATGATCTACTCGTCGATGAACGAAACGTTGACGATGATTTATGTTTAAGGAATATTTCTGTTACGTTGCGTATATTCGAGAGATCGAGGCTAGGAGCAACACGTTGAAGGAAGGAGCGGAAGATCGAAACTGGTCGAATACGAAGGCTTGTCTGCGGTCTCGTTCGAGTTTACGGTACCAAGCTGTTCGGCAAGTGTCCTTTCCACTGTTGTGTTTCGATGTAAATTGATATACAAAGCGACTGTTTGGGTAATTCTCTCGGAAGTTTCCTCGATAGAGTTTCGGTTACGTATAAACAAACCGTGAATCATACGCGATCGATGTTATTCAAAATTGAAGAAGATTTTACACGTCGAGTTTTATATCGATAAAAATGATGATGATATAAAATATAAATTAACTCTTCGATCAAAGATTTAAAATGTATATATATATATATATATATCTCAAAATATTTTTCATTGACGGTTTATTGAAATATCACAACGGAGTTACGAATTCATTTCGATTAATCGAACAAAATAATTGAAAAAAACGAAGAAGAGAAGATATTACAATTAGAGAGGAAGAGGGAAAAAATTGCGTATCCATTTGGCACGAAAAATGATGGAGGAGCTGAATGGAGCTGAAGAACTGGTAGGGTACTCGTTGGTGCAGCTCGAAGATATTATTCTCTGCACGGTCGTCGCCGGGTGGATTAAACGCGGTTCGACTGATTAAACACGATTTATATTGGCGTTAATAAGCGATGGCATTGAATATTTAAAGCGACTCATTAACTCGGTAATTGCGATGAAACGGCGCTGCTGCCCGCGAGGAGCGCATTGATCGATCGATTCCAATTTTCTCTTCCTTTTTGTCCCGGACGTTAGCTTTCGTTGCGGAACAACGTTTCCCTATCGCTAACAAGCCGATCGGAAAATTCAGCCGTTCGTCGATATCGTTCCTCTGGTGCAACGGATGAGAGAGAAAGAGAGAGGGAGAGGGAGATAAAATGGAAAAAAAGAAGGGAAAAGTATATTTCTTTCCCATTTCGATTCCGCATCTCGTCAAAAAACGGGAACGAGAAAATTTTTCCTCGATTTAATGGGAAAAACCTGTTTGAGATGATCGGATTCTTAATGCTCGATGGGGATGGTAAAGATAAGTGGAATAAAATAAATTCGAATGATACAGATGACGACGATAGATCGCGGATTTTTATAGAAAAGTTAAAATTGCAGTAACATGTTATATGCAGTAACATGATAATTTAGATGCTTGATATCGGAAAGAAAATTTAAATAACATCTCTTTCTAAAAATATTCTGTTAAATTATTTCTATTAAAGGATCTACGAAAATCTTGAATATTCTAACGTGTACATATATTGATATTTACATGTACTTTACACAATATTTGACATAGACATTTTTTTTTTTCACATATTAGTTGAATATTTGTGCATGTTTTAGACCGGATAAAAATCCGCGGTCTAGTAATGGGAGATACAGTGGGGGAAAAAAAAAAAAATCAAGAAACCAGAGAAGCTTCCATATAATTTTACCGACGAATCTATGTGAAAAAAAAAAAAAAGAAAAAAAAAGAAAAAAGAAAAATTGGGGAAAAAAATCCTGGATTTTTTAACAAAACAATATTCGCGTACCCGAATATATGTTTCACAAACTAGCTGCCTGTTAAACAACACACTCTGCACCCATTTCACCCGACTAAGCTCCCCGCTCGAGTTTAGAACCGATCCACACTGCAACCTGGATCTTCACACCTTTCGAAAAATATCCTCCACCCCGGTCAATTAGCCCCCCTCCCTCCCCCTTTCCTCCTCCTCCTCTACGACATTCCACTTTTTTTTTTCTTTTTGAATCGGATCTTGATTCAAAAAAAATCGTGTTAAGATCGTGTTTGTCCCCGGCGAAACGAAAATTCACCGGCTCATTGTCGGCACCAATCTAGAGTCGTATTGCACCCCTCCGTCACTATACGACGTGCTCTATACGACCCGTCCCGGGGTAATTTAACACGTAAGGGGGATGACAACGGTCTCGAAGCCCGTGTTCTTCGAGGTCTCGTATAAGTGACGATCGTGTTACACGGGCAAACTCACGAAATCTTCGAAAGAATCTATTC